AGTGGGAAGTATATCACAAGTATCGATGCAGAAATCGAAGCTATGCTTACAGCATAGAAGCAAGTGCGCCACCGATTTCTTAAAAGAATATCACTTCAGTCCATTGTAGTCTTTAAGGACTCACGGTTTGCTCTTGAGGCTGTGAGTAAGTGCTCTCTGCCACCTCTCGAGATAGTACGAGACATAAAGTCACGTGGAGGCAGAGTAGTCCTTCAATGGATCCCTGGACACGCGGGATTACCAAAGTATGAATGAGTTGGCGTTCTAGCAAAATAATATTCCACCTATAGCAACGACCAAACCGGCCAATGCCCTAACTGGGGGGGGGGGCTGGGGGGGACATTTTTGAGTGGAATGTTTTGAGGGCTGGAAAATGGAGACACAGCTTTTAAGCCACACCGAAAAAAGGGGGTAGAAGCTAAAACGCAGGTCACTGATCGTCATAGCTCAAATGAGAACAGAACATTTACCACTCGAAGCTATTTAAACAGATTAAATTCTCTTCGGGACCCGAGCTGCTGCCACTGTGGGTTGGCGCCAGAGACGACAGTGCACTTGTTAGCCAAGTGCTCGACTCTGAGAAGTGGTAGTGTTGGGAACACTTCAGAATGCCACGTTGAAAGTTGAAAAATATGTCGACGCCCAACATATGCAGCCCGCCTGTAATGGGCTTATGGTTGCCCTTATAGAGCTTAAATTCGGCCCCCAAAAGAGACTGAAAATATTAGGTTAAGTGGAATGGCCGAAATGGAATCCAGGTGGCAATGATGAATCACGTAAATATGTGTCTTTCCTGAATACAATGCCGTGGGGAATCATGTACACAATTGTGTATTGCCGTGGGAAGGGAGGAGAATTGAATGCATTTACAACGAGACTGACACGTGGCTTTAGCTGCTGTATAATTTTGGCTTGCATTAACAAAAATGTTACTTAAAATATCCAATTTAGGCGTGATGTAACGAAAATGTTACTTAAAATATCCAAATTTAGTTGTGATGTAACAAAAATGTACATTTATAAATGTTGCTGTAGCCTACCGTGCTCCATCCATCACCAAGAATATGATACCTTTTGGAATGACCTGGGGGGAAAAAAAACAAACAAATTGTTTAAAGCAACGGATTAAAAAAACTATTTTGTGATCTTGAGAAAAATGGCGTGAAAGTGGGAGAGAGGAAGGGGGAGTGGGGTTAAATTTTAACTTATCGTAGCATAGTTTTCTTTATTTTATGTTTAGTCTTCGTCGCCTTGTGTGAACGGGGCTTGAAGCAGCGGGAAAGAAGCAAAAAATTAATATTGTCTGTGTGTGTGGGGGGGGGCTGCATTATCTGGTGTAAATTACGTAGATTCAGTGGCGTAGCCAAGGCTAGGGTCAATAGGAGCGGGCCGAGCTTTTTTCCGCTCCCTAACGAAGAGCCGCCCCTCATATAACGAAAATAAACGTGTCAGACGGGGTGGAAGACCCCACCCTACCCCATCCTATGCCCCTGCGTTGATTCC